TCTTGCATTGTCAGCAGATATGAAGGTGGGGAAATATGAAGTCGATAATGTTGCCTGATTTTCTGCCACTCTGCTGCTCAGAATCAGGTAGATAATTTGCAAGGAATCCTACCCAAGTTTGTCTTAAGCCAAATTTAAGTGGAAATGAAGCTGTCCATGTTCAAATGTAACAAGAACTGGACAATATCTAGGATTGGGATGAAAAGTGACAAGTGATATTTATACTACACTAACGTTAGGCAATGACCATCTACACAAGAGACAATCTAACTATTGCTTCTTGGCATTCAGTGGTGTTACCATCACTGAATTCCTCACTGGCAATATCTTGGGGTTTACCATTTACTAGATACTGAACTAGTCATATAAATATTGTGGCTAAAAGAGCAGATCAGAGTCTATGAATATCAGTAAGTAACTCCCAAATGCTTGTCCACTATCTGCAACACACAACTCAGGGGTGTGATGGAATACTCCCCACTTGCCTGGACAAGTGCAGCTCCAACAACACTCAGGAAGCTCGACACTGTCTAGGACAAAGCAGCCCGCTTGATTGGTACTACATCCAGTCCCTCCGCCACCAATGCGCTGTGGCATTGTGTGCCATCTACAAGATGCACTGCAAAAATTCACCAAGACTCCTTAGAGGGCACTTTCCAAACTTATGGCCTTTACGATTTAGACGGATAAGGGCAGCAAATACATGGGAATGCCACCACTGCAAATTCCTCTCCAACCCATTCACCGTCCTGACTTGGAAATATATCACCATTCCTTCAGTGTTGTCGAGTCAAAATCCTAGAGTTCTATCCTGAATTACATTGTGGGTTTATCTACAGAACATGGATTGTAGCGGTTCAACAAGGCAGCTCATCACCACCTTCTCAAGGGCAACTAGGTGCAGCCAATAAATGCTGGCTTAGCCAGTAACGTCCATGTCCCACAAGTGAATATAACAAAAAATTCTAGCAGAGTTCAGAAAATGTCAAACTACAGAAAAATTTCCTAGAATAAATGTTACTTTACTAGAGAAAATTATTTTTTAAACATCAATCCCTGAGTACACTGTGGGATGTGTTCTCTTGGAATGTAAACAAAGCTATGGTACATTTTGTGGCAAAAATCAACCACTAAATAGAGAATAATTTTTAGTTGCTGATTTTTCAAGCAATTTAGTGCAGTGAATCTATGCATTTGGGTTTAAACTCAATAGAGACATCTTCATACCTTTAATGAAGACAAATTAATTTAGTCTTTTTTTTAGATTGATGTAAATAGATGTAGTTGTTTTACTTTCTATACGTAGAACTTATAAATATATAGAAAACGTTCAAGAATAGATTAAAAATAGCTAATTTAAGATAACTATTAGCTTATATTTAGAAAATATGGGATAGGTTACAAATACAAAACTGTTGTTCAGTGACGTCTTGTCTGTTGCTGCTGCCTTGACCTCAATGGAAAATAATGTCGAAAGCAGGAGGAAGGAAGAGGTAATGAAAGAAAATGCACTTGTGTATAATAATAAATGCTGCTTTAAAATAGAACAAAATCGTGGTAAATGTTAATGTAAAGGTTAATGATTGCACAAACTATGTGCTTGAACCATCTTTAAATTAAAACCAGAGTGGAAGGTTTTGAGGTCACTTTTTCCATCATTAATTTGGACGTGCTAATATTCTGGTTTACTTAGTTGTATTGGTACCACATGCTTTCTAAGATATGTAAGGAATTATACTTTCCCAGCTTGTTATAGTATTTTTTTATTCTCAAATATACATGTGCCTGACAGCACATGGCATCAATCATAATCAAATGAACTAATAATTTAGTAGCCTGTTTGTTGAGTCACAGCTTTTACTGACTGAATTTTTCTAAGAATCTAAATACTCATTACGCCAGTGTAACTTAGCTAACCTTAAGAGCGTAGAGTGGACAGAACAAGTACCTCAGAATTTGTACTTTTTGTGGAAAATAAAACATACAGAGCAGTCTCTGAATATAATTTTTATTTTAAATGTTAATACAGAATCATCAGTTGTAAGCTATTTATAAAGTTTGGCCAAATGTTATACCACCTCCACAAGACTAGCAATGAATTAGAAATATGGTAGAGTTTCAACCTAGAATCTCAGTGAGACCATAAAATCGTTAGATATAGAAACAGGAGTAGACTCGGCCCCTCGAGTCTGCTCCACCATTCCATTGGATCAAGACTGATCTGACGTCCTTCACATCCACTTTCCTGCCCTTTCCCCGTAATCCTTAATTTCCCGACTGATCAAGAATCCATCTATCTCAGGTTTAAATATACACAAGGACTCTGCTTCTACAGATGCCTGCGGCAAGGAGTTCCAAAGACTCACAATCCACTGAGAGAAGAAATTCCTCTTCACGTCAGCCTTAAATTGGAGCCCCTTCATTTGGAGACTCTGCTGTCTGGTCCTACACATTCCATGAGGGGAAACTTCCTAACAGCATTTACCCTGTCACGCTTGTTACGAATCTTATATGTTTAAATGAGCTCACCTCTTATTCTTCTAAATTTCAATGTACAGAGTCCCAACCTGTTTAAACTTTGCTCAAAAGACAACCCTTCCTTACCAGGGATCATCCTTGTGAATCTTTCTGAACTGCCACCAGTGGAATAATATATAATCTTAAATAAGGGGACCAAAACTGTTCATGCACAGATCTTCAGGACTATCACTGACTTTGCCTGCTTATATCCTTTTTCAGCATTACTCCCATAACTTCCTTGGTTAGCCATGGTTGGCTAATCCCTCTCTAAAATCTTTCCTTCTTACTGGGATGTATTTTTGTTGACAGTCGTGAATTACCTCATTAAATATCTGCCACTGCTTGCTCCCTATCAGTTCCAATTGTTTCACTTACAGTTTCTCTAATCTGATCACTGAAGGTCCCACAGCGCTGAGCTGAGGGAGGTATTGCTATATAAATCCATTAGTTTTGTTTTTATGTACTATGACCTGATTTCTACAAAACAGTATCATTTGTAGATCATAGGCAATCTGCCCTCACTGTGAGGTTTGAGTCATTGTGCAAGCTGGAACCACTTTACATGAGGCAAGAATCGTCTGTTGTTGGGAATAAAGATATTGTATTGTACTGATACATTATCCTGCTAATTCTGGCAATGAAGAGAAGACTAATACAAACTGTACTATGTGCTTTACCTATGCTATTTACAGAATAAGAATAAACAAAAAGCTCCGTTGAATGTTAAGATAGTGAGACAGCAGAAAATGTCCCAATTCAGGTAACTAGTGAATGGACCCAAGTAGAATTATTCATCATAACAACATTCTGCCTTCATTGTATCTCCAACATTTGGAAGGTGGGGGAAGAATTTACTGTGGAGATTTAGGCATAGAAATTAGGACTGATAATTAGGTCATAGAGATATGTTTTAAGGATGTCTTATAAGAGGGAGAGAGCTGGAAAGGCAGATGGAAATAGGAAGGGAATTCCACAGCATCAATGCTTGACAGCTTTAGGCATGGATATGAATAATGGGGAAAGTTTAAACTCTGCGATGCTCAAGAGAACAGAATTGACGGAGTGCAGATATCTAGGTAGAATGTAGACTGAAGGAGATTACAAGGGGAGGGAAGAGTGGAGCTGTGAAGAATTTTGAAGACCAGGAAAAGAACTTTAAAATCAAGTCGTTATTTGAACAGGAGCCAGGAAGGGCCAGTGAGCGCTGGAAAAACTAGGACTTGGTACGAATGAGGACATGGGCAGCACAGATACAACAAGGCATCAGAAGTGAGGTATTATATAGATGATGGCCCTAGAGCTAACGTCCATCACAAGGACATCAGGACCTTATTCATCTGGTTCTATACTGGACATTTGAAAGAACTGCAGAAGCTGTAAATCAGGGACAAAAACACAAGTTGCTGGAAATGCTCAGTAGGTCTGGCAGCACCTGTGAAGAAAAAATCAGAGTTAATGTTTCAGTCTGAGGAAGGGTCACTAGACCTGAAACGCTAACTCTGATCTTTGTTTCACAGATGCTGCCAGACCGGCTGAGCACTTGAATTTTCAGCTGGTCTGTCTCCTACACTAGTACTAAGATGACTCTGTGTTTTGAACTATTTTTTGTGACAACCTTTTTATTGTGTGTATTTGTGGTATACCAACAATGGACACCTATATTCCTTTAGAATGTAAAATAATATTTTTAAGCCCAAAGGAGTTGCTTGCAACAATTGTCTCACACGAATGAGGCAAGTCTCAACAAACAGGAAACTGATACTAAACAGAGAAACCAGCATTATCTTCTCAATAATCAGGAGTACAATTAACAAGTTAGATGACTCAGGCATTTTATCTGCATTCTGGAAATCCAACCTGCAGAGTTTTGCTTCACGTACATCATTCGAGGTGGTAAAGAATTTGGGGCTAGTGTCAAGAACTGGAAGTAAATTGATTTAAATGGGCATTATAAACAAATCACACTACGCTTCATTTGTGACATGAAACAGAAAGACAAGAGAAACAAGAAGATTGCAAAAATATAAGTTGGTTATTGCTGCCAACAGGAAGTTGAAACTATTGTGATAGTTTACAAAATATACCCAAATATATATATTTATATACGTGTAATTACACTTAAGTAGCAAATAATAAACTATCTTATTAGCCTGTAAATAATGCAACTTTTTGTACCTTGAGCTTTTACTGTTGCTATTAAAAAACATTAAGCACATGTGTCATAGGGAGAGATGGAGGAAGAAATTCATTTCAATTGCATGTAGTAAGAATTTATGTTTTCCCGTGTCCATCGCTTATGTAGCTGCTAGGGAATACAAACCCCTTCTCTGATGTTGGGTCTCCTTTCCATCTTTAGCCTGCTACTCTGTTCCTGCAGGACCAAAGAGGAGCAGGAATGAAGAGGGTAATTAGCATTATTATGCACTGACAGGGGCTAATGTTACATTTTTTCACTTGTGATTTTACTGTCTATTTTACAGCAAACGAGTATAATGTTTCGATACGAAGGACAGATGCTTCAGAGAGATGTGAACTTAGTGGAATGTATCTTTTGAAGACTGGCAAAGATGCGCTGATTCTGAAAAGTATTATCCCGGAGCAAGTAGTATATGAATGGCCTTATATGTTTCTAAGAAGATTTGGTGGTGACAAGGTGCCCTTCATTTAACTTAATATTTATATAGAAGATTATGAGTATGTTTGTCATGGTACTTTATGTGGAACTTTTTTCAAATGAATGTAGCAACTCACTCATTTGTCATTGTTCAACAGCATTCATTGAATACTATGCCACTCCAGTTTAGGCTTCAAGGTTATCACTACAAATTGTGTAGATATCCTACCATTTCAAACAAAGTGAAAGGTCATGGGTATAAGGATTCTGGTCATATTTTTCCCAAATTCAATTCATTTGTTTAATTAAAATAGGCAGAAAAGTTTGTTCTAGATCACTGCGAAGAGGGCATTGGTCCGAGGAGTGCCAAAATGATCAGAGGAAGCAAGTACACATCCCATCCAAAGGACTGTCAGCCGATATATTAGATAAAAGTAAAAATATGCATTCTTTACTCATGCTTGAAGGAGGTAATAAGTTCGGTACTTACATGCGAAAGACCCAACATCTGTCTGAATTTTTTTCCAAGATTGGTTTGTCCAGTGGCAACCAGTGCCAGGGCACTCTCGACAAACACGGCATAAGGATTACCTGAAATAAAACAGAAATGCAGGAAATCTCAGGAAGCTACATCTGTGTGGAGAGAAAGAGTTTCTGGGTACAATTTCCTGCGCTCGAGTTCATGGGAGTAGCAAGAAATGTGGAAAAATTGGGGAAAAAGGTTTAAACAGTGAGATCAGAATCTCACTGATGAGTGGCAACAGCTTAATTTCCATGCATCTGCATCCCATTATCAGTCCTGTCTGTGCAGTTTCCAATTCTCCTGTCCTTCCCTAAGGAACTGAATGGTGCAAATTGCCAATACGAAATCAGACCAGTTACCTGGCAGCAGCAGCTTACTGCTTGCTTCTCCAGACCTTCAACAAATTCTGTCTTCATGGCATTTGTGTATACTCCATGGACACCATCCTTTGGAAACCTTTGGTGCACCAAGTTTGCATCAGCAAAATACACCTCAGCTTGCTCTCAGACCAAACCACACGTCATGTCAACTATTCAGACTTCACCTTGGAGCTCAGGGTCAGCCATGACATACATGGTTCTGCTAGGCTGCTTTGCAAACAGGGATACCCACTCATCTCAGACATCCACACAGGATACATCTTATGGCTCCTGGCTTCATTTCCTAACATTCATTGTCTTTGTGCTTACTTGGAAGCTATTAGCCTCTGTGGCTTGCTTTGCTTTTTAGCATACAGGCTAGTCAGTGCTGTTACAGGCTGATAGCCTCTGTGGCTTGCGTTGATTTTAGTGCAGAGGAAAAGGAGGGCAGGTACATTGTCACAGCTCAAAGCAGTAAAAAGTCAATGGGATGGACATGTTGCCATCTAAAACATGTAATTTATGCAATTCACACACACTAAATGTGCTTCAGTGACATAGCCATGTTTGGAAATGAAAGGGAATAAGTCCTTAGTGGAGTGAAGGAAGGAAAGTAAAGTCAAAGGCAAAGTAAAATTGTTTAAATTTGAGGCCTTGCCAGGGGAAATTGTATTAATTATGTATCCACTAATTTAGTAATGCTACTCCACTGGCATGAAATTGGACATCTCCGAAGGTTAGTCATTCTCCAAGGATCAACATTCTAAATTTTAGCATTGAAATAGTTATGACTATTAGACTGCCTGTACCTATTGTCTCCTAGTCATATCAGTTAAGCAAATATAATCAGATGCTAACTTAAAAGTGTCATCTGGCCTTGACATTTCTGAAACACATTTTATAACTAACTGTGGAAGGCAATGCTTCAAAGCTGCCACATTTGCATACTGAACTGTAAGTGTTCAAAGACATAGTCTGTGATGTTCAAGGATGCTGTTTTTGAGAGCCATAATTATCATGGAAGCTAACTGCTGAAATTCTCCCAATGTAGCCTGAACACTTTGGTTGTGCATCATACATTTGGATTAGGTTATATACTTCATTGTTCCTTATTGAGGCATGACAATAACCACCTGTCAAAGATTCCATGGCATCCTGAATTGAGCAAAGTCCTGGTAAAGATTTCTAAAGGAGGCAGAGGACAATAATGCAACTCTTAACAGCATGTACTGTTGTCATTTTCGACAGTTCTCAGAAACCCAGTGCAGGCACACATTAGGGATGTGCTGGGCCGTCACTGAGGCATGATTCGTGCTGAGAAGGACAGGTACTGTCAAAGTTACAGGTGTGTTGAATTTTTAAGCCAGCAGCTCATTCCAAAGAGCAACTTGGGATCTCTGTGATATCTCACAGTTCTCAACCCACAAGTGCATCCAAGTAATCATTGAGGCCATTTTCTCCAGATTCTACTAGTTTGTATCTTTCCCCCATGATGTTATGAGTCAAGCAGCTGAAGCAGTAGGTTCTTCCACCGTCACTGGTTTACCCCTATAGTGGGCACGCTGGAATGTATCCACATTGATTTGAGAGCACCTTAGCGGCACCAATTTGCTGAGTTCTTCAACAAGAAAGTCTTCTACTACATCAATTTTCAAATAATATTTAACCATTGATGCCAGGCTTTGGAGGTGTGCATACCATGGTGCATACATACTGTACTAAAAAAACTCACAGGTTCCCGTGTCCTTCTAAAATGATCTGTCCATACAAGGATGGCTATGGGAAGACGAGAGCTATCTCCTCCAAATATGACTGATGACGCCTGTATGAAACCCTCAGAACAAAGATGTAATACTCCCTACGCTTCCACCAAGGGTATAGTGGAACAGACCATAGGCTTAAGATGAGATTTTGATGCCTGGACCACGCTACCTGAGTCTTGCATTATAGCAAAGAATGGGTGTGCCACATTACTGTGGCATGCTGTGTCCTTCACAACTGGAACTGACAAAGGGGGAACTTCCTGGAAGCAGATGGAATAGCAACTAATAGCAACCTTCTGAGGGTGAAGATGAATTTAAGAATCAGGATATTTCCTGGGAGGGACATCCAAGACAACATGATAGAGTGATGCATCACTGAGTATAAGAAGCCAGGGAGAATCTACTTGAAACCCATTTGCAGGATGAATGAGCTGGGTTTGAAGTTAATCCTTTAATCATGTAACTTTCTGTTGGTTAGATTTCAGTAAGTAAATGACTGGCTACCAATATACACAAAAACACAGTGAATGCCACAGTTACTTGGATGATACATCCTCATGCCCCTGCTTCCTGTAAGGATTCAATCCCATTCTCCCAGTTTCTCCATCTCTGTTACATCGTTCTGATGATGTCACCTTCTGTGGGGAGGCCTCAGAAATGTCCACCTTCTTCCTCATCCAAGGATTCCCCGTTACTCTGGTCGACAGGGCCCTTAATTGTGATTGGTCCATCTCCAGCGCTTCTGCCCTCACCCCTTCTGTTTCCTCACAGAACAATGATAGGATCCCTCTGGTCTTCACTTACCACCCCACTGGCTTCCACATCCAAAGAATTGTAAGACGCCATTTCCATCACCTGCAATGGGATGTCATCATGAGACACATCTTCTCCTCCCCTCTCTTGTCAGTATTTCACGGGGAATTCTCTCTTCGGGACACTCTGGTACACTCTTCCTTCATTCCCAACATCACCTCACATCCTCACGGCACCTTCCAATGCAATCACAGAAGGTGTAGTATCTGCCAGTTTACCTTCTCACTATCCTAGGTCCCAGAAATACCTTCCAGGTGAAGCAGCGATTTATCTGTACTTCATTCTACTGTATTCATTGTTCACAATGTGGTCTCCTCTACACTGGGGAGATGAAACGCAGTCTGGGCGACCACTTTACAGAACACCTACATTCTGTCTGTAAAAATGACCCTCAGCTACCAACTGCCTGCCACTTCAACTCATGATGTGGAGGTGCCGGTGTTGGACAAGGGTGGGCAAAGTCAGAAGTCACACGACACAAGGTTATAGTCCACCAGGTTTATTTGAAATTACAAGCTTTCAGAGCGCTGCTTCTTTGTCAGGTGAAGTCACAATGAAGGAGCAGCACTCTGAAAGCTTGTAATTGCAAATAAACCTGTTGGACTATAACGTGGTGTCGCGTGACTGCTGACTTTAACACACCACTGTCTTTCCTAGCCAACATTGCAAGCTGGAAGAACAGCACTTCATTTTCTGCTTAGGAACCCTGAGCCTTCTGGACTCAATATCGAGTTCAACAATTTTAGGGATTGAGTACTTTCTCATGTCCTTACTCCAATCCCCTACACCAGGCCTTGTCATCACATGGGCTGATACCACAAACAACCCATTGTCCAGCACTAATGGTCCCCATTAGCCTCTATTCATTCTCCCAGGCTGACCTTTATGCATTCCTTTGTCTGCCTAACTGTTTTTCTCTCTCTCTCTGGGCTCCATCTCTATCTGTCATTTACTCCTCCCCCCTCGCCCCAGCCCATCTTCAGCATATATACCGATCTTTTCCTAGCTACAATCAGTTGTGAAGAAAAGTCATGGATGTGAAATGTTAACCCTGCTTTCTCTCCACACATGCTGCCAGACCTGCTGAGTTTTTCCAGCAATTTGTGTTTTTGTTTCTGCTTTCTATGGCAGTCACCAACCTTTTTATAGAGACAGCCAGACATATGCATGCCAGTGATAACATTTACAGACACATCTATCCTTCAAGCCAATTTACTGACTACCTCTGACAAACCTGTCTGGGGTTCATGTGCCTGTCAGTACATTTTGACCGTGTCATTAACAGAGGAGACCATGGAATCATCTTCTGCCTTGGGCAGAGCATATACCTGGACTCTGCCAGCCCTCATGAGTGCCAGAGAGCTGAGATATTTTATTCATCAGCCATTTGCAGAGACCTGCCAGACTCACCAGATTGTGCTCCCAAATCTAATCTAGATAAAGAATCCACCGAGGTGAAAGTCTTTGAGCTGGTGCAAGATGCTGGGACATCTGTGGGTAGAATAGCTTCTTGCTCGTAGGTGAAGGTAGTGCTGTAGGTTTGCTGGTTGCTGCTAGTGCCTGGAGAAGAGAAGGAGTTAGTTTTGTAAGTGCGATAAAAGCTGGTGCAAGTCGAGAATGAGCATTGGTGTTAATGGGAGAGCAGCATGTTACAGCACAATGAAACTTACATGGTTGGTTGTGCATGGAGGTTTTCCTATGCCCCACAAGTCCTATCCTTCTCCGGCCACATCCAACATTATGCCATGAATCTCACTTGGAAAAATAAAACACAACTTAAAAATGGAAAAAAACATAGTCCGGTGCTGCAAGTTGTGAACTATTACCTGAACTGAGAAAAATTAGAGATGTTTTAAACAAAGGTTTCAAGCAAAGATTGGATGAGACAAGGACAAAGGAAAGTCTGTTGATGGATGCAAGATAAAGATTGAGTAACAGATAAATTAGCCTTCCAGGGCCAAAGGGAATGGTGATAGGGCAACAAAAGGAACAAAGATGTGCCTAGAAAGGTGTGCTGCTGTATGAAGACAAAAGAAAGAAAAAAAATTGGGAAGAAAATCAAATAAAATAGGATACAGAGTTTATGGATTTTAATTGTTGAACTCAATGTTGAATTCAGAAGGCTGTAAATTATCTAATTGAAAGATAAAATACTGTTTTTCAAGCTTATATTGTGCTTGACTGGAACTCTGAAGCAGGCCAAGGACAGAGATGTTGGCATGACAGCAACACTGAAAATTAAAATGACAGGGCACCAAAAGCTTGAAGCTGTGCTTTTGGACTGAATGGCTGTGCTCCGCAAAGCAATCACCCAACATGTGTTTGGTCTTTCAAAGATACAGGAGCACCACATCGATTACAGTAGACTAAATTGAAAGGAGCATAGCTTTACCTCGAAGGCACAGATGGAGCTGTAAGGAGAAAGGAAATAAACGGGCAGTTGTTGCATCTATTTGCATGGCAAGGTGCCTTGCGAAGGGGATGGGGTATTGGGGGTGTCTGAAAGTTTTCCTGTTAGACCTAACTAAGAAGATAAAGAAGATATTGAACTACCATACATTAAAGAAATCAATAAAGAAATCAATTACAGCTACTCCCAGTCCCAGTCATACCACTCCCTGAATCCTACTCCTATGTTGTTAGCCCCACTTCACGCACTCCTTGGCTTCCCAATTGTCATATCCACAATCCCTGGTTCTATATTCTGTGAACCCTCACAATTCCTATGTCCCCAAACGAGATCCCTGGGTCATTTAAGTGAGGGTTCTAATAATTCCAAGCAGCAGCCAGAATTTTCACTACTCATTGCTCACAGGCTTTGATGCAGCATTAATTCCAATATCAAGCCTCCATGTTTGTGTAGATGTGGGACTCATCATTCTCACACTGAGGATGCACCCTGTGTCCCTGTGAGACAGAATATCTGAGTCAAAGATTCTATAAAAATTGAACGGTGTATTTTGTTGATATTGGAGGCAAGATACAAGGTGTAATCCCATAATTGGCTCATTGAGAGCCATACTGGCAGGGACAGGAGATCAGAGAATTGGGGCTAGAGTATTTAATATGGCCTAACTGGCAGAAAAGTACTGTAGAATTAATTCTGTATGTTTATACAATAATTTCATGTTCAGTACTTTTTACATTTTTCAGAGAATGTTTTCAATTGAATCTGGAAGAAGGTGTAAATCTGGTCCAGGCAAGTTTGAATTTGAAACGACGCAAGGGAAACAGATTTTCATGTCTGTAAATGCTGCTGTAAAGATGCAAAGGGACAACAATGAAGAGGAGCGTAGCAATTCAAATCCCTTAGAAAGCTACAATTTATTCTCTGTGGAGACTGCTACTTCCAAACCATTTTCAGCTAGCACATGCTCTCACAAGGAGCATGCCACTGAACATAAATCTGAATTATCTAAAAATGAATCCTCTGTAATATCAGACGTTTCTGAAGGCATGTATCACTTGTGTTATGAAACGTCCCCAGATAATCAGACTCGTAGTTTGCTCAGTAAATCACCAGTCAAGTTTCAGTGCAGTTTCCCATCATCACCTCTATTCGGTAAAGTAAATTCTAAATTATCAGCAGACACAGTTGAGAATCAGACTACATTATATTCAGAAACGAATCCAGGAGGTGTTCACGTAACACTCCCTCTGGAAGCACCAAACAGTACTAAATCCATATCAAGACAAATACGAAGACAGCAAACTAGCTTTACATCTCACAGAGAGGATACCTTATCACACAAAATCAATGAACCATGTTTTAGATTTCCCAGCAAAATACATTCATTTAACAATGAACACAAGTCCGTCAAAAAGAGTATTCCTTCTATTGTAATGACTAAGCATCCAGAATCTGTTTATGACACTGTGTACAGTGGAACCAGTAGACCAGATTGCACAAATGCATTTAATCAGAATACAAATCGCAAAAAGAATGAACATGTATATGAAGTAAATGATGATTCTTTACTTTATGATGAAGCAAAAGAATTAAATGAAGCATGGAAAGTGCAAGGCAGACTGAATGACTGCTTAGGTTATGAATATCCGTACAATCCTTCTGCTGATGACTATGCTGTACCGAAACAGACAATTAAAGGTGCTCCTCCCAGGCCACCTAAAAATGTGTCATCTCTAAAGGGAAGAATGCAGAAAAATGATTACGTCAATGTGGAATCAATTATTTGCAATAGGTATTCATGCCAGAACTCATAATTTGTAATAACTTGGAAGTAGTCCTGCATTTTATTATACACTTAAGTGGAGTTTATATTAATACCGGAAAAAAACTGAAATGTAAATATGAATTCAAGAACTCCATAAATGTAAGTTTTCAAAAAATTCTATTTATATATTTCTAACAAAAATATATCAGTACATGTGCTATATATAGTGGTTTATGCAAATATTTCACATTTTAGAAAGGTCAACTGGAAGGGGTCATTCTTGTGATAATTCATTGTTAAGTAATAAAATTTGATTTTTGTTAACTTTGTGACTTACTGTTGTATTTTTTATTGGTGTGTATAAAGCAAAAAAACAGATTTTCAAATCTGAATAAACACCAATTGAAATGAAAATATCTGTAAACAAACTTCACAAAGAATTGTCAATTTCCATAATTAATAACCTCTTAGGCTCCATTATTGTGAAAGTTATATTAGCTCTAATTAGCAGGAAACTAATTCATAATAACCATAAAAATAATTGTTTTATATGTAAAAACTTGCGTAGCTCAACAACCTTACAGTGCTGCACTTTTGCTGCACTTCAGTTGCAGTTGAGGTATTACAACAATCAGATGTCTGCTGTCAAAACATTAAGGGGAATTTCCACATAGGTTACAACACAGCAACTGTTCTTTGTGCAAAAAGTCGTGATTACTTACATTAGTGGCCTAATTTAAATATACAATGATGGAGGCACTGCAGCTTTCCTTCAATCCTTTATATTCACAAAGGTAACTGAGACAGGCAGAAGTGAGGAGATTTGAATACAAATGATCCAAAGAGTTTCATAGCTATAATTGGAGCTGTGAGCTATTTTTGCCGATGTTTTTTGTGGCATTCTGCCTATATACAAATCAAAACTTGCTCCTTTCTGTTTCTGCAACCACCCAGAGGCTTTTATCATCTCCTCACACAATCCCCACCGTGAGGACTTCTCAGTAGCTGGTATGTAGGCATGGGCTTAAACGTCATTATAATGGAAAAGGAGCAACAGTATCACAGGATGGAGTAAAAGAGATTCAGACAGCCTTCACAGCAAGGGGAATCAAAGTGCAGATCATTTCCATGCCCACCAAAGATTCTCTAGTTTCAAATGAAGGAACCTTTCTTTGTTTCAGCACCAAACCACCAAATGATACATCACATCTCTTTGCCTACATAACTGTGTCAAAACTCTTAACTTGCTTGAATAAGGAAGCATCAAATAAGTGCATCATATCCTGCACAACACTAAATTAAAAAATAAAGCACAACTTCAGGGCAAATTCTATTTCAGCACAATAAATTGCAAAGATCCAGAAGCCAAATGGAAATTTCCAAATGTGTGCTTCCCCACAGTGCCTATACACACACACACACATGCACAGCTCCTGTTGCATTCAACTTTAAGGTCAGTGTCATGGCAATGATTGGTTGCTCATGTGCTACAAAAGGTTCATGGGTCTGGCAGGGAGCAGTTGCCAGCTATATTTAGGGAGCTTGTTCAGGAGCCTGGTTTTACCTTGCTTATCCCATTATCCTAATGCTATGTGGAGGAACAGCCAGCAGGATTGCAGCATCACAAAAGTGAAATTAAACCATTGTTTTTCTACTGGACCATGGAAATGGCTTCCCACTGATCAACAGCATAGTGAGTTTGTACTAATGTGAAAATTCAGAAAGCCATGACAGAGAGCAACACATGTCACTGTCACCATGGTACTGAAGCCAGTGTTCTGCCAGTTTTCTTCCAATAAAGCTGCAACCTGCATTCCCACGGTAAGGGAGATCCAGACTAGTCTCTGGCTGGTTATTAGGTGGAGATGTATTATGGATTTCAAATAAACTATTACACACATTAATTATGTCTGTTTGTACAGATCATGTGTTGGCAGTTGCCTCATGTTAAAGGCAGATCTTAGAACCTGCATGTAGCTGGGTTGTTTCTGGAACATTTTTCAGTCATTTACAAATGAGTCCTGGTTCCTGTAACAATGGATTCAGTCAGAACTATGCACACAGTTGGTGAAAACTTCATGAATCTATTAGGATTAAACAAAATACATTGTGAGTGCACGCATGGATAAATAATAAATAATTGTGTGCCTCCAAGTTGGCATCACTGAATTTGAGAACCTTCTTCCCTGCACTATGCATTGTGTAACTTTACTCTTCCAAAATTATTTATAAAAGGCTTTCAGTGAAGGTATGTAGCTTTCCCTTCCTTCCTTGAGTAACAGAGTACCACATGGTACCTCTGCACCATGTTTGGCCATGTGCTACACGCAGAAGTAGCTGACAATGCAAAGAAGAAGGAAGCAGCATGGTAATTACTTGCAATATGTCAAACTTATGTAGATGAGGTGAGTGCACCAACATACCTCGATGGGAGACCCTGAGACGTTATTATTAATCATACCCAATAGAGTTCTACACTGTCCACCTCATAGTTTGCAATATTTCTAAGTTTTGTGCCATCCACAAACATTTAAATTATTTCTCCACTCCAAGATCGAGATAATTAATATGAATCAGGAAAAGGAAAGGTTTCATTACTGATTTCTGGGAACTCCACTCCAGCCAGAAAAATATGCATCAACCATTAACCTTCTCTTTCCAATCACTCAGCCAATTTTGTATCACATTGCTGCTGTCCCCCTTATTCCATGAACTATAAGTTTTCTCACAAATCCGTTGTGTGGCATTATATGAAATTCCTTTTGAAAGTCCATGTAAATCACATGAACAGCATTACCTTGCAACCCTTCTCTGTTATCTCTTCAAAGAAATCTACATTGTCTGTGATCCTTTCTACCATCATTTTAAACTTTATGATACAATAATCGCTGCTCTTAATTGTTCTCCCACTTACAATTGATCTGTCTTGTTCCTGGGAACCTGGTCTAGCAGTGTCTCCTCTCTCATGGGAATGGACAAATACTGCTGTGGAAAATCATCCTGAACACAATCTAAGAATGCTTTCCCCTCTCTGTCTTTAACACTACCAGTTTATATTTGGATAATTAAAATCCCCCAATATAATTACTCTATTAGCTTGTACCTTCCTGTAATTTCCTTGCATATTTGTTCCTTTACATCTTTCTCACTAGTTGATGATCTATAGACACATGAGTAATATAATTTTTACTCCTTAGCTTGTTCTTTTCTTGTTCCATAGCTCTAACCGAATCGATTATGTCCTTGAACCTCCTGAAACATTTTCTTTCTCTTCCTGGGTTCCTGTTGCTCCTGGAAAGTTCCTTATATCCTCTACAGTGAAGACTGATGCAAAACTACCTGATCAAATCATCTGTCATTTCTCTATTTTCCGTTATCAGTTGTCCAGGATTTGCTTTTATTGGACAAAAGCTCACCCTGCTAATACTTTGTTGTCTACAACAAGGTGTCTCTAAAACCCCACAGACTCCTCAACCAGTGTACACAATACTAATTTACCCAGGCACCTTAGCAAGTATCAGGAAAGGACTACTCAGCACGAGTCTTCAGTCAGTGAACCAGGTCGCAACTTTATTTGAAACAACAAAGGTTAAGAATTAAACTTTACACTTTAACAATTCTATTTCTAACAATCCAATTCTTTAGAAACTTAAAATTCTTCCCAGATACTTATAACTTTTGCTGGTCTGTTGAATTGTTCAGTCTGTTTCTCTCTTCACAGGTTCTGGTCAGAGGGCGAGCTGCACTGGTCACTGCTGTATCCCAACATCCTGCTCCTCTGATGCTGCTTGGCCTGCTGTGTTCATCCAGTTCTACACCTTGTTATCTCATACTTCTAGGTAGGCTGGAGAATGGGGTTCCCAGAGTCCTGCCAAGCTATACTGTCTTATACCATCCTGGCTACTTTCTGGAACTTTCCAAGGACTTGACCAATGAGATGTTTCAAATTAATTGACTTTGTTACCTTGAAATGCTGCTAATGGCTCTTGATGGTTGGCTAAAGAGTGACCCCTTTGATGTGTTCTGCTCTTGGGCCTGGAAGTCTGATTTCATCCCAGAATATACGCCTGGTCTTTTGTCTTACTGAGGCATGTCTGCTCCATGCACCTAGTGTTGTTTGTTTGTCAGGAGAGTTGAAGTTTCATTTCACACTTCCTCTCTGGTGCCTGAGAGATAGTAGGAACTGCAGATGCTGGAGAATCTGAGATAACAAGGTATAGAGCTGGATGAACACAGCAGGCCAAGCAGCATCAGAGGAGCAGGAAGGCTGA